GTGGCGTCGCTCGCAAGCCCGGGAAATGATACCCTGGCAGCTCAGTGCACGTGTGTGCACATGGACAGAGCCCGCACGTAATGCAGAGACATAACAGCTCTCTATGGTCATGTGGCATTTAAGTGCATCAGCGTATGTGTATTCACACCTACACACCTAAACAGATCTAATCACATATGTAAAGCATCTGCCTATAAAAATGGGAACTTATCTATAAAAGGGAACTTACAGAAAAGATGGGGCAAGACTGTTTATGAGAGAGTGTAGTGACAGGACAAGGGGGTATATGTTCAAATAGAAAGACAGTAGGCTTAGATTAGGTATTAGGAAAAAACCCTTTACTATAGAGGTGTTGAGGCACTGGAACAGGTTACCCAGGGAAGTTGTGGATGCCCCATCCCTGGAAGTGTTCAAGACTGGGTTGGCTCTGAGCAACCTATTCTAGTTGAAGATGTCCCTGCCCATACCAAGGGGCTTGGAACTAGATGATCTTCTAGATTCCCTTCCAACCCAAACCATTCTATAATTCAATGATGATCCCATGAAAAATCTTTATATAAACACAGTTGGAAAATAGTTGTAAGTACATAACATGCATGTATATATGTGTGTGCGTGCAAATTTTGGTATTTGTTGTGTTGGGAATGATGTGACAACCTGGGTTTCTCCAGCACAGCAGGTATATATATCCCATCCCTCTCACACCTGCTCACCTCCAGGCCAGGTCGGTCTGTCTTTGTGGGACTCTGTGTAGCACAGGAAGCAACAGCTGATTCCCAAAATCTCTGTCCCCACCACCTTCTTTACTGTCAGAGACTTGAAGAGAAAAAAACAGTACAATAAATGCTTTGAATTGGGGAATAGTGAAGGCAGGGCCCAAAATGGGATTATGTCTGTTGTGTGGAGAATGTAAAGCAATAGGCAATGTGTGCATATAGCAGCATTATATTCTGTAACACCTTTCCTGTTGGGGGATCTGGAGGTGGAGGCCCCATTGCTCCCACAAGACTCCATAGAGCAAAGTCAGGAGACACTGGCAGAGTTGACCCATGTACTTCATTAGCCTGCTTTGAAAGAGCTGTGACCTGACAGTAATGGCCCTGGGAGGCCCAGGTGCCACAACGCTGTCCTTGTTTCCTCTTGCTCTCCATGCTCTTGACCTTCCTGGTCCAACTGCCTGTCAGTGAGATAACTGGGGTTGCTTTGATCCTTCCCCGAGTGCAGATACCTGGGTCTGTTGCAGGAAGTGTTTGCTAAATTCCCTATCCTGAGAAGATCTGCATGTGAAATACTGTTGACTGAGTGTTTTGCGGGAGGTCAGATGTCCTGGGGAATCTGAAGTGGGTGTGGGCTGAAGTGTCAGGGAGTGTTCTGTCCATCCCACGTTCACCTCCTACCTCCTACTTTTGCCTGAGCAGTTGAGGAACCTGCAGTTTACAGGATATTGGAAAGTGTGTCCAAGCCTTCCTCTAGCAGCCTTCTGGGGTGCCAGACACACTGAACTATTCCCCTGAACTACTGATGGCATATCCATGGAGCTGGGAAATTTCTGGAGTGCAGACAAACTGCACCCAGACATTTCATGGTGTGTAACACTTCCAGGAGACAAGTAATCTGTGCTTCACTGGGCAAATGACTCCAGCAAGACTTGCAGGGAGAGAGGCTGAGGCACACAAGGAAATTTGTCATTAGCAGATGAAGCAGGGCACAGAGAAACGTGATGACTGGGAGGCTGCTTCTGCCCTGGTGCAAAAGCTGGAAGTCACAGAAACTTCACCTGCAGCTTCAGTCCCCGTGGACTGCCCAGGGGAAGAAGGCATTCAGTGGTCATCCCTGGATGAATACCTAGCATAAGGCAGGGTGGTGGGGCATGTATGCTGAACTGAACCAGAATGCCAGCTAGCAACTTGAGCCTTTGTGTTGCCTACATTAATGTTTTAAACTGAAAGGTCTCTGCATGGCGCTCCTGTGGCAGGTGGCAGCAGGAGCTGTGATCGTTAATTTAACATTATGGAAGTTATTTACCTGTCTCATATAACTGAGTATCTACCCAGTGGTGAAGCCATAAAAAAAGAGCAAGGTTTCTGCCAAGGGAGACCAGAGCAAAGCAGCCCCTCTGTGGCCTTGTGCCATTGCTCTGTGAAATGGTACAAGATTAATGATGGAACTGATGAGAAAGCTGTTTCAGTGACGTGGAAGGTGTGATAAGTGTGTCTGACCAAACAGTGTTCTGCTGTGTTCTGACAGGGACTGCTTTAGTGGTGTTGGAAGCAGTGAAATCTGGCACAATCTGTGTCCATACTATGTGCAGGGTTAAAAAACTGAAGTGATGGAGTCAACTCTTCTTTTTCATACCCGGGCTTCCTCAGCTCTCCTGTCCTTGCCTTGGAGCAGGACTGGTTGACCCACTTACAGTGCATTAAGACATCCTAGAGTGATGCAATGACTTTCAAATCAGGAAGGCATCTGGGTATGAAAAACAGACTGACCTCTTGCAAATATTTTTCCTACATTTTCAGCTGGAGAGTCACTTTCAGGCTCAGCCACTTATTAGTGACACAGAACAGCATTCAAAGCTCAAGTCCAGCAGCAGCCTTCAGCTCCACATGGAGCAGGGTGCAGCTGATGAAGAATATCTCACACTCTTTTTGTGTTAGAGAAGCATCTGCCACTAGCTGGAGATTCAGAACTCTGAACTCCCACTGCAGTACCAATTTGGTATTGTTTGGGCCTACCAGGAAGGTGGGGGTTATTTCTAGAAGGATAATACTGGCCAGTGATTTTCTTGTTTTTACTGAGTTTGCAAAAAAGGAGTTACCTGGGGCTCAGCAAAAAGTTCATATGTGTATTGTTTACTTCCACTTAAATGCAGCAGAATTTTAGGGTCTGAGTGGGTAGAAACTATTACTTAAATTGAACAAGTGCGAAGAAGCATTTCTAGCATGATTAGGGGAACAAAAGTCATATCTTCATAGGAGAATTAGAAGATCTTGTCTTGTTTAGTATAACCCAGCAAAGACTGAGCAGGGCTGTGATAAGACTTTATAAATATATTTGAGAAGTAAATGTCAGAGAGGAATATTGACTTCATCACATGATCAAATGGCAGTACAGTGAGTAATTCTGAATACATCTGCACTGGAAATCTAAAGGTTTCCAGTTATATGATGAATGAAGACCTCAAATACTCTCCCAAGCACTGGAAGGAGTAGCTTGCAGTCTTGTAGGATGGAGCCTGAGAACTTTATTGACATAATTGTACAACACAATAGAGCAGGAAAATGCCTGAAGATAGAAAATTAAGTTTATAGTATGAATCCCTGGGTATCTGATGTGTCAGTATCCCCTAATGTGTGAGAAAATAGATTAGATCACTGTCAATTTGCATTATACTTATAATAATTCCATGCCTCAGGGCTTTCACTGGAGTTGGGAAAGATTTTATTTTATTCTTCCTGATGCATGACTTGTCCTCTACTGCTCTTTTTGTGCCTTCCTCTGCAGGTCTGAAGATAGATTGTTATAGGTGGCATTAAAATCTTGAGGTTTATGTGTCTTGCTGATATACTCAGGGATAGGCCAGCCTC